GACCATATATGGTCTCCTGCACATACCCCAACCAGACAGTGCCAGGGATCCAACCTGCAGCCCAGATACATGCCCCTGACCAGGAATCAAACCCTTTAGTGCAGGAGCCAAGCTCTAACCACTGAACAACACCATCCAGGGCCAAGTGAGCTGTCTTGAAAGAGGATCCTTCAAGTCCTCTGTTGACCCATTTTAGAGCAGAGAGCCTCCAGTTTGATCACAGTATCTTTCCCATGGATTTTAAGCTAAAGATAAATTATATAAAAGTCTCTGGTAAATAATAATTTTCAATAAATGGTACTTTAAAATACTACAATAATAATAACAAAATCCTTGAATCTACCAATAGAAACCAAGTGCATTTTTAATTAAAATATTGAGGAATAAAGGGCAAGAGGTATTACTATAAAAAATTAGTAATAATGACCAAATTTAACCTTAGTTGGTCACCACTATAAACTGTCAGCATCTTTCTAGCAAATAAACATAAGAGATGTTGCCCAAAGAGTCTTTTTTTCTTTTTTCTTTTCTTCTCTGGCTCTTGTGTAAAGGGTGGTTAAGGTTTCACACAATTCCTAACTTTGTAGGCCATTGCTTTGGATCTGCATTCCGCACCCTACCCCCACCCCAAGGTTCACTTTGAAATTTAAAGAGTGTAGAACTCATTCAAACTTTTCTTATCCACTTATTGCTGCTCTCTTCCACAAATAATGAAAATCTGTTTATGATTCTTCTCTTGTTGTATCGTAATCAGCGAATGAGATACAAGACGCCTTAATGAGCCAATTAATTAGGAGTCCTTTATTGTGCGTGGCCCAGGGGAAGGTGTATTTTTCAAATCTCTGAGGGAAGTCACACAGGAAGTTTCCTGTATTTTATACTTTTCGAGCTTCTTTGTTTGCAGATATTACAAAGGGCTCTGTGTGAGTTATTGTTACAGACAGTTGTAACCTTGAATACATGATGAGTTTGAACTTGGCATAAGAATATGGGAATTATTATCAGTATTAGTCCATATTAGTCTATTACATTGGATGGCTAGCTTGCAAGGTCAGACAGTTAAGTTTATCTTTTTCTATTATTTGAACTGAAAACAAAGTCATTTTATAGAATAGGAGACTGTCTTAAAGAGACAGAGCTTACAATGACAGAATCTACAGGACAAGGGGTTATCTAGCAATAGCAGAGAATTTCTGACAGCAGTTTTTTATACAGGATGGAAGTTACTATGCTTCACTCCCAGAACTGTCTGAGAAAATATAGCAGTTATGCAGTGAATATGTTGATTGACATTTTTATTACATAGAGGTTTTCAAGAATTATCTAAAGTGACAACTATTTCATTTTTTATGAATTCATAAAATATGATTGAAAACACTTTTAAAAAATCTCTGTAAAATTTAAGTATATACTTCCAAAATTATCTCTGAATATGTGTAGGAATTGACAATTACAATTATTTAAGTTATGCACACATATTGACAAAGCCTAGAAAGAACTCTGTGATATAGCAAAATTGTTGAGACTTTCTTGTGTTTTAATATCTACCAGCATTGTAATCATGGTTTTGGTACACTAAATAGCTTAAAAATTCTTGCAAATAGCTGAATCTAACTATCTGTCCCTGAGGATCTAATCAAATGTTAGATTTTTGTTATTTAAAAAACACATCTTGTCAGCTGGTGTGGCTCGGTGGTTGAACGGCAACTCATGAACCCATGAACCCGGAGCTCATGATTTGATTGCGGTCCAGGGCACATGCCCGGGTTGTGGACTCGGTCCCCAGCCCTCCCTTCCTCTCTGTAAAAAATCAATAAAAATATTTAAAAAAAAAAAAGAATAGTTTATAAGTTTTTAGAGAGAGTGGAAGAGAGAGGGAGAGAGAGAAAAACACTGATGTGAAAGCATAACATTGATTGGCTGCCTCCTGCAGGCCCCCTACATCGATGGAGCCCATAACCCGGGCAGGGAATTGAACCAGCAACCTTTTGGTGCATGAAATGATGCCTAGCCAACTGACCCACACCAACCAGGGCAATAATGAAATGTTTTGAATGAAAGACTGAGTGCTCATTCTTTCCTTCTAGTTGTTTCCAAGTGTTTCTTTTGGGTAAATTATTTATCTATATAAGGCTAAAGAAATTTGTTTTTTGATGTGGATTTTTAATTTAATAATTTATATATATACTTTTAAAATTATTTTTTTTAATTTTGTTGTTTTTCTTTTTTATATTTTGTTGCTTTTGTCTTTTTGGTGTATTTTTTAGCAGCTGTTCATAATATTGTGAGGAATTTAATAGTCAATTTTTAAAGTAAGGGTCTAATGCCATAGGAATATTTTAATGAGTTCTTTATTAAATATATCTTATTAATATTAATGAAGCAATACACTAAAAATAGTTTTATTTATTTTGAATTAATATAATTTTTATTAGAAAATAATTCCATGCACATAAAACACTAGAATAAAAAAGCTTAAAATGAAAAATAAAATTCTCCCTCCCCTTCCTAACTCTCCGTTTCTCCCCAGCCCTCATTCATTTCCTGGAAATTACCCCTGTTAACAGTTTCTGCTTTTAATTTAATATCATATTCTTTCATTTCAAGTTTTATCGATTTAATACAGAATCTATTAATATCCTACTGTGAAAGATTAAGAATTGTTGTGAACTATCCTCCCATCTCTGCTTACATT